CTACCCCCCATATTCCTCCCAGCATACCCCCTCCCAACTTCATGTCCTCGTCATTTCTTTTTAAATAACCACTACGTATAATCAGTGCTGCCCATATATGCATGGATGCAGGGCCTTCCACAACCCCAAAGAATGATTCTCCCTCCCCATCAGTTGTCAACTGCCAGTAGTTCCTCAGCCAAGGGTGGAGCATCAAGAGCTCCTCCTCCATCCGCGTTGGAATTTTGACTAGCATGAGCTTACACAGGTCTTGTGCAGGTAACCACAGCTGCTGTGAGTTCGTGCGTGTCCTGTCTAGGAGACAGCATCTCACAGCACTCCTCTTCATCCTCTGGCTCTTAGATTCTTTCTGTACCCTCTTCTGCAATGTTCTCTCAGGGCTGAGCATTTAACAGTCACTTAGTCTCAGTATTTTGACCAGTTAGACCTGGTCTGCTCTCAACCTTGGTCAGAGAAGCTTCTTTTTGTGCTGGATAACAGTCAATACAGAGACCTCTTCTCTTCTTACAGAGGAGAATGAGGTGCGGACGATGGTGGATCCAAACTCACGCAGTGACCCCAAGCTGCAAGAATTGATGAAGGTAAGAGAAGTAAAGAGAGGCTCCAGGAGCCCCACCCCAACCCCAGTCTCTGCAGTCTGAAGACACACTCTGCCCCCTATTCTGTATAGGTACTGCATGGGCCATGACAAGAACATAGACTCACGTTGGTCCCAACTCTCAGGCAGCTCATGGTCAAGCCAATGGGAGTCCAAACTGACCAGAGTATTGTGTGACGATGTCCATGTTGTTGATCATCAGAGAAGTCAGCACAAGTGTTCACCTTGGCCAGAAGCTGATATCTTGACATCTACTGCTTTTCTCAAAGTCTCAAAGGACTTCATGAAGTAGAAATTAGCATCAGCCCCATTTTCCAGGTGAAGAAACTGGGTCTTAGGAAAGCCAAGTGATGTGCTTATCTTGCTGATTGAGAAAGATGGAATTAAAAGCTGAGGCTGAGGTTCAGCTAACAGAGGGCTAACCTAGCATGCACAAAGCCCTGAGTCCCATTCCCAGCATAGCGTGACCCAGGCGTAATCACACATATCTGTAATCCCAGCACTTGGGAGGTAGCGGCAGGAGGATTAGAAGTTCAAGGTCACCCTGAGCTATGTAGTGAGTTTGAGGTCAGCCTGGAATGCATGAGAGCCTGTTTCATGGAAAGAAAAGAAGGAAGGAAAGAGGAAAAGAGGGGAAAGAGACTGTGCATCTGGTATTGGCACAGTGGTCGTCTTGTGGCCACCTCTCCCTTACTGCTTATGTCTTGACCTGTGTCTCCTTGTCTAAACTGCACTTAACACAGAAAAGCTAGTGACTTGTACTCAAGCCTAAATAGAGCATTTTCCTTACCGTAGCCTGTCTGTAGTTTATCTAGTACAGAGCAGGAGTGGTGTTTGGGGCCTCAGACAACCCGCTGCCTAGCAACACAGAAACAGCCTACAGCTTGCTTCACTTCTTCCCGCCAGGCCTCTGTTTACGCAGCCCCCTCCACCTAGAGTGCCTCTGGCTGCCCTTTCTGAGTCTGAGCATCTCCACTTCCTCCAGGAAGCTGGCTCCAAACACCAGTGCTATTACTTTGCCTCCCTGGGCAGCACTGGCCCCTTGTCTTAGTGTGTCAGTGTCGTCCCCACGTACAACAGCTCTTGATGCACTTCTTTTTATTCAGTAACTGTGAGCTGCTTGGAGGTTAGAGACTGCCTTTTATCCATTTAACCATTTTATCCCCAGAATTGGGCCCAGCATGCCACATATAGCAGCTATTTCATAAAATTGAATGGAAGGGAAGAAAAAGAAGGAAGGGAGGAAAAGAGAAAAAGAAACTTAAAAGTAGCCAGGCAGGGCTGGGAAGGTGACTCGGTGAGTAAAACCTGAGTTTGGATCCCCAGAACTCACATAAAAGCCAAGTGTGGTGGTGGGCAGTTGTAGCCCTTTTGCTAGGGGAAGAGAGTTGTGGAGAGAGATGGATCACCGGGGTTTGCTGGCCAGCCAGTCTAGCCCAAAGGACAGGCTCCAGATTCAGCAAAGAGACCCTGTCCCAAAAAAAGTATGGTGGGGCCTGGCATACTTATACATATGAGAGAGAGAGAGAGAGAGAGAGAGAGAGAGAGAGAGAGAGAGGAGATTCAAAAGTAGAATCAGAGTATTGTCCCTGTGGCTGATGCTCCCTCAGTGGAATAAAGCCATGTGAGATTGGGACTGTGTCAGGAACTGGAGGGCTAAGGACAGTCTTCTCAGAGATGTATAAATGCCCCCTGAGTGGCCTGGGCTTGAGCCAAACAACACCATTATATCTGGGTCACAATCCAAGCCCCACTGGCATGCTGGGCTGTGAATGTTGGGCCCTTTATTCTGTATTCATGGCTCCCTCTCTTGATACCTTCTGTGCTGTACCCATAGATGACTGCCCCTACCCAGGAAGACTCTGAGCCCTCACCTTGCTATGCAGGGGGAAGGTGGGACCAGTGCAGCTGAAATTCTGCCTGTCCTTGTACCTCTCCAAGGGTGCTGAGCCTAGGACAGATACTACAGAGTGTTAGCCTGTGCTGGTCCTGCCAGAGAGCACTCCTGTGTCTGGGTGGGCAGTGATCTAATGGCCCAGGAGACCTCCAAGGGAAGATGTAATCAGAGTGGCCTCTACTGTACAGACTCCAGCACTGATGTCCTAGAGCCAGGCCTGCGCCCAGATCCAGTTTGCAGAAGTGGAAGATTGGAGGTGCATATTGCTGGGCATAGACCTGAGTTATGGGGTGGTGCACAGCATTGCCTGGCTGACCCTCACCTCACTCCAGGGGGAATTTTGACTTTCCAGATTTAGGCTGCATTGGCTGCCTTGAAATCCTAGTCTTCCTGGCCAACCCCCTTTTCTTCCTTTCAGAGGCTCCTCAAACACAAGACTTTCTGGAAGCATCCACTCACTGCTGCTCCCAGCCTGGTTGGGACCCTGTGATGGTTTATCTTGATTGCCAACTTGATGGGGTTTAGAATCACCATGGAAACAAATCTCTGGGCATGCCTGTGAGGGCTTATCTGGATTATGTAACCGAGGGAGGAAGACTTGCCTTAAACGTGGGTAGCATTATCCCATGTGTGGGGTTCCTGGACTGCATAAAAAGGAGAAAGCGAGTTGAGCACTAGCATTCATCTCTCTCTGCTTCCTGACTGGACCCAGTGCAGTCAGCCACCTCACACTCCTGCCACCATGCCCTCCCCACCATGATGGACTGTACCCTCGACTTGTGAGCCCAAACAAACCCTTCCTTAAGTTGCTTTTGTCACTCACAGCTGTGAGAAACTAATACAGACCCCTTCCCCTCACCTGTAGCTCCATGTGCTCCCCACTCCCAGAACTGGAACCCTACAGGGAGTGGTCCTTTAGAGCACTGGTTCTCTCTCCCCAAGCCTCTCCAGGACACTGCATCTTACTGGGTTGATTCAGGCTGTGCCTGGTACACAGGAGACTCACTCTCACAGGAGACTCAGCTTCATCCCACCTCAGTGAAGCCGCCCACTCCGCAGTCAGCATGTGAGAAGAGGGAATCATTCTGTATCTAGATTGTGGTTGGGGTCACCAACCAATACCTGCCAGCAAGGACCAGCGTTTACCACTGCATCCTTAAAACTGGTTAATTGGTATCTTCAAAAGCAGAAAGGAAGCATAAGGCAATACACAGTTTTGATTTCCTTACCTGAAAAGGAAGCTGATGATGGGCGTGTCGCAAGGATGTCGTGTGGTTTGTTGAGTTGGTGTCATACACAGGGCCTCCGTTCAGTGCCTGGCACACACAGGGTTTGGTTGATGGCATCTGCTGACTGACAGATGACAAGCTATGGTACTGCTCTGAGAGAGGCAGAGAAAAACGCAGCTCAGTTAACTGACAGGGGATCCACTCCTGGCCCTACCCATGAATGCAGTGACTTTGAACAAATCTCTCTAATTCCCTGGTGATTAGCCCTTCTGGGGGTGTTGACAGTAACAACCTTACCAAGTGTCCTAAAGGGAGAGTGCTTTATATGTTAATAAGGTGTACCTTCCATGGAGTCATTCTTTCCCACTGCCTAGTGCAAGAGGTACTTTCCTCTACAATAATAGAGACTGGGAATCAAAGACTTACCTCAGACTCACAAATCATGGGGAGTGGCAGAGTGGGCACATTCACAGGCTGTAGGTATCCCATAGTTCACTGAGAAGCAGGTGTGTACAGTTCCTGGACAGCAGAGGAATGCAAGCACACATGTGTGCACAGCCACAGATGCCCGTGGTGCACACATAAGTGAGTGCGTGGAACTGAGGTTTTGACCAATTGTGTAACTCCAGAGTCTATACCCTACCCTGGCAGGAAGCCATGGGGGAAGGCCTGGCAGGGGCCTGGAGAGATCAGCAGGGACCCAGGACTGCCTGCACCAGAAGGGCTCACCTCTGCAGATGCACAGGGCCTCTGGGGCTCACTTCAGAACTCACACCTACGTGTGTCATGTGCACACTGGTCCTGTCACAGTCCTGCTGCTATTACAGTCAGAAGTTCATGGAGATTTTAATTGGCCAGCATAAGAAGGCTGCTCTCCAAGAACAAAGCCAGCATCTCTTCTCTGATCCCCATCCCCTCTCTCTGTAGGTGCTCATTGACTGGATCAATGACGTGTTGGTCGGGGAAAGAATCATCGTGAAGGACCTGGCTGAAGATCTCTACGACGGCCAAGTCCTGCAGAAGCTCTTCGGTAGGAGAGGGCTTGTTGGGGATGACCGCTGGCCTTCAGTGTCATGGTGGCTCACCTGAGTGTGCAGAGAGGGACAGCAGATCTGTGAGGGCTTTTACATGGCCTCTGGAAAGCCGCTTTACATGATGGAATTGCAGGGGGTTCTTGGGGACCACATGGACCTGCTTCCTGGCCATCCAGGGTCATCAGCTGTGTACATGAAAAGTTCCCACTGCAGGACTGCAAATCACACCTCAGTAGCCCCCAAAATTCTGCACTTGTGACCCTGATAGATGCAGTAACATGTGTGTGAGTGCCAGCTTGTGTTTTAAGGCTTCTGTGTTCATAGATGTGTGTGCATACTGACTCGACAGAGAAGTACTTTGGTAACACAAGAGTGTTTATGACCTACAGACATGTGTGACCTTTGGTGATCTCTGAGCCTGTCTATATTCCTATGTGATCTATGGAGGTGTGCATGTATGTTCCTCTTATTGTTTACAGACAGCTATTCTCAGGTTCTTCTACATTTATGGACATGTATATGTGTGTCCTTATATGATCTATGGAGCTCTGTGTGTGTGCCTTATATCTGTGTGTCCCTCTGTGATCTATGGGTCTGTGTGTGTTCTGTTGTCTACAGAGGCACATACCACACATACTGGTACCAAGCTCAGAGAGGGGCACATAGGAACAAACATACAGGGCCAAAGATCACAGATGCACACACATATGTCCACAGACATACAGTAGCTGCCATTGCTGTGGTTGGCTTTTACATCCACGGTGATGTCTTGCTCTATGTACCATGAATTTTCATGCCCTGACACTTTGCTGCTCTGTCTGCTTCTGAGGCCCTTCTACTAGACACACCACTATTGTACATGCTTCTGGTCTGATGTCCTTTTATACCCTCTACAACATAGTCACGTGTGGAAGACAGGATTGTAGACTCTTCTATGTTCACCACACACATATATCTAAGGAAACAAAGGATGTGTACATACATACACAAATATGTGTGTGCATGCACACACACGCATGATAAATACATCAGGGGCTGAAGAAAAATATATATGAATTTTTATTTATTTTTGTCTTTTGAGACAGGGGCTCCCTGTAGCCCCAGCTGGCCTAGAACTCACTATGTAGACCAGGCTGGCTTCAAACTCACAGAGATTCACCTGCCCCTGCTTCCCAAGTGCTGGGATTAAAGGCGTGCGCCACCATGCCTGGCATGGTCAAGCACTGGAAACACTCAGGAGGCAGAGGAAGATTGGGATGATCTACATAGCAAGGCCCAGGCCAGCTGAAGCTACATAGTGAGACTCTGTCTCAAATGAAAACAAACAATAAAAAACAAAACAAAATAAATATTTTTATTTCATGTGTATGAATGTATTGCCTGCATGTATGTGAGTGCACCCATGTCATGCAGTGCTGCGGAGGTCAGAAGAGGGCTTCAGATTCCCCTGGAACTGGAATTAAGGATGGTTCAGAGCCACCATGTGGGTGCTGGGAATCGAACCCGGGTCCTCTACAAGAGCAGTCAGTGCTCTTAACTGCTGAGCCAACTCTCCAGCCCACATCCCATAATCTTTAATAAATGTACATCTAAAACACTTTTGGTCCCCAGGATTTTGGGTAAGGGATATTCAGCTTGCTTAAATATGCATTTATATATATGTACATACATGTATACTTTCATGCCTATCATAAGACTTTCATTGTCATTTGGAGCTGTTTATATAGACACGTGTGGCCTTCTTAAGGTCAAGAACGAGGCCTCATTTATTGTTTCCTGGCTTCTCCAGCCCGTCAAGCTGCCTAGCACACTGCCTAGCACTTAATCAATGTATATTGGGTAAATGAATAAATGGCTAATATAAAATCTAGTAATTCCTTGCACGCTAAACTGATTTGTTACTCAAACATCAATATTAATGGGTATTAAAATTTAAAGGTTGTAAATGATGGCTGAATACAGAAAAGGAAAAGCTTTGATGAGTGTGGCTGTGGAGCTCCACCGAGAATGTCCCTTGAGATTGCAGCTGATGGCCCCTTTAGCAAATTGCTAATCAGATCAGAAACTGCCTTGAAATATATATACCATGTTGAGCTCTGAGAGTGAGGATGGAACATGACCATGGAGACATCTCACCTCTAGGGAAGGGTTACAGGAGAGCCTGATCTCACATCTGTGCAGCTCCAGGTCAGGCATCACACCATCATGTGTCAGTTTTCATGTTGCAAAGGTGATTCATAGCAGAAATCATGCTCCTGTGTAAACTTCAGTTTAGCCCTCCATGGGTGTACAGCTGGACATACACGTTCCAAACCTAGGGGCCCAGCCAGGCATGGTGGTGACACACATTTTAATCCCAGCACTCGGGAGGCAGAGGCAGGAGGATATCTGTGAGATCAAGGCCAGCCTGGTCTGCATAATGAGTTCCAGGTTTGCTGGGGCTGCAGGGAGACCCTGTCTCAAAAAAACCCAAAAGAGGGCTGGAGAAATGGCTCAGCAGTTAAGAGCACTGGCTGCTCTTGCAAAGGACCTGGGTTCAGTACCCACCACCCACATGGCACCTCCAACTCCAGAGGATCCACCCGCTTCTGGCCTCTGTGGGCATTGCATGGTGTACTTACATACATTCAAGCAAAACACTCATACACATAAAATAAAGGTAAATAAATGACATTTATTTTTAAAACTCATGAGCAGGACACCCAGGTGGAGAGAACCATTTTGTAGCAAAATGAATATCTCAGGAGCTCGTGGGATAGATCAGTTTGGAGACAGGTTTGACTGACCCCTGTGACTATCTTCCTTCTTCCCTAGCCGAGCTTTTCAAGAGAGCATTCAGCACTCCTTCTATCTCTCTCGGTGGCTGGCCACTCCCTCCTGTGTCACGGCCTGCCACCTCCCAGTCTTCCCACCGACTTTGCCTGCCAAGATCAGTGCCAATTCACATTTCCTCTTCTGCTGGCACTTGACTGACCATTGCATCCCTCCCTCACGGGTGACTTCTGTGCCCTCATACTCTCCCCATAGTTCCAAACTGCCACTGACACTCTGAAGGCATCCTCATAGACACACTGAGAGGTGTGGCTCTGTGGAGATTCTCTTCTCAAGGTAACAGTCAAGATTAACCAGACCTCATCTTCTTTCTTGGCTTCCATCCCATTTCCTGGGGCTTCCACCATTGCTGCTTCCACAGCTGCCCTCACGTTGCTCCAGAACAGCACTCTCCTTGAAGCTGCCAAGGTCATTTTTCACCATCTTCCGGATATCTCCACCTGGAAATCCCACAGCCACCTTGCCACCAACATGTCCCAATCAGAGCTGCTTCCCTTCTTCCATCCTGGGCTCCACTTTAATGACTGGCCTTACAATTTCACAGCCCTTGTCAAATAAGGAGTCATCTGGATGGCTCACTTTTCTCCATTCCTGTGCTGATTAGTTTTTAATTTGACACAAACTAGAGACCCATGGGAAGGGGGAACCTCAGTTGAATAATTTCCTCCCTCAGATTGGCATGTGGTCATGTCTGTGAGACATTTTCTGAATTAATTGTTCATTGATGTAGGCGTGCCCAGCCCACTGTGGGTGGTGTCATCCCTAGGTAGGTGGGCCTGAGCTGTTTAAAAAAAGAAGCTAAGCCAGGCGTGGTGGCGCACGCCTTTAGTCCCAGCCTTTAGTCCCAGCACTCGGGAGGCAGAGGCAGGCGGATCTCTGTGAGTTCAAGGACAGCCTGGTCTACATAGTGAGTTCCAGGACAGCTGGGGCTACAGGGAGACCCTGTCTCAAAAAGATCAAAAAGCAAAAAAAGAGGCTGAGCAAGCCAGAGGAAGTAAGCCAGCAAGCAGTGTTCCTCCACGGTCTCTGCTTCAGTTCCTGCCTTCCTGGCTTGAGTTCCTGCCCTGGCTTCTCTTGATAATGAACTGTGATCTGTAAGCCAAATAAACCCCTTCTTTTCTAAGTTGCTTTTGTTCAGAGTAGATTATCATAGCAACAGAAAAAAGTAGCTAGAGCAATTCCTCATACTCTGGCTAAAGTCCTGGCAACTTCATTCCCATCTGTCATGTCAAACCCATCCCACCTGTCAGTCAGTATACAAAGCCTTTAGAAAAGTCCTGAGGTTCAAGCCGGGTATGATGGTACACGGCTTTAATCCCAGCACTTGGTGGCTCTCTGTGAGTTCAAGGCCAATCTGGTCTACATAGCAAGATCAGACCAGTTGGAGCTACAAGAGACCCTGTCTCAAAAAGACCCCCCCCAAAAGAAAAGTGCTGAGGTTAGCTACATACTGACATACTAAGTGAGGGTAGCTCCCACTATTATTTAACCACCTTCTTAGCCTAGAACTCACTTCCCTTAGAGTCTCTGGTTCAAGTCCTGCCCTCCATGTATGGTCTTTCCTGCCTCCACATTTCAATGAACCCATAGGACACTTGTTTCTTTCTTTCTAAACTTTCTGACTTTGAACTAATTTTAGGCTTTGCGTCACACAGGCTGTGCAAAGAGCTTCCGTGTGTTGTTCATCAAAGCTTCCCTAATGTTGACAACTTGCCCAACCATCATACCAATATCAAAACCAAGAGACTGACCCAGAAAATGTTAATGGAATCAGAGGCTTCCTTTGGCTACACTAGTTTTCAGTGTGACATCTCTCTCTGTTGTAGGATCTATTCCCAGTTCACATGTTTGGTTGGCAAGGGCTCCTCAGTCCACAGCACTTTCTCTGTCTTTCCTCATCCTTCATGAGGTTGGTGCTGTTTTGTAGAACAACACTCAGTTTGGATTTGTCTGATGTTTTCTCACGATTAAGCTAGTACTATTTGGGGGAGCCCCTCCCCCTTAATGATCTGTCCTTCCCAGTGCCCGTCAGGTACACAAAGTTGCTGTGACTTATCATACATGATGTTTGCTCACATGACATTCACTCACATGATTAAAGTCTGCCAACTTTCTTCACTGTAGAGTTACTGTTTATCCTCTTCACAATTTATTTGAGGAAGTT